TTGCCTCCGCCCGCCCCGGCGTTGGCGGGGTCCCCGGCACCGATCTGCAGCCGCAGCCTTTGACGCCTCCGTTCCGGGCAGAGCAACTTTCCCCGACCTCAGCAGGCGTTCGCGGGCCGGCCCCGGACCTCAGCCAGCAGCTGCCGCTCTCCTCTGGCTCTTTGTTGCTGCGGCGATGTCCGAGCTGGCTGGAGGGCTCAGCTGGAGTCCCTGCCCTGTCCTCCTGTCACCCTATTTTGCGGCAGGGCGGGGTTAGCCCCGCAGCTTCTGGGGTTGGTGGGCGGGCTTTAGAATTGGGGTTTTTGAGTTCAACGTGATTTTGTCAAGTTCAATTTTTTAAATATTTGTACCTTGGTTTTCACTTTGAAATGCATCACATTTTATTGTTTTTGTAAGTAATGCTCTTATTTCGTATTTTGGTAGTGTCTCTAATGTAACCTTAGGTCTCATAAATGCTATTTTTTAATCTTATGACATTGTTGCTTGTATATTTTTATGTGAATGAGACTTAAGTACAATTCTTTTTTCTCACATTAATTTTTGGTGAGCATTTAACCTGAGATAAAGCAAAATGAAATTGGATGCTTTATTATGAAGCTCAAAATTGTGTATTTAAGTAGTTTTATTCAAAATCAATTGTTACAAGAACTTTTTGCACATTTGATGACTCTGAATATGATTGCTTCTTAGTTGAGAAACACGTAAAAGATTTGTTAGCAAAGAGGTTAGTCTGAATAACAACTTGTATTTAAGCCTGTAAAGCTTGCAGTCAAAAGGATAACAGTTGAATTCTAGAATGTATTTTAGTCTTTATGTATAGTAACTGTAAATAAAATCACTGCAAATTCTAAGTGTACTTTCTAGCTTGTTAGGATACCAGTCAAGAGCAGTCTTATCTTTTAGTTGCATTACATTATTAATACTCCAGCTGTATTTAAGAAAAAATATGTAAATTAACAAAAGTCAAAAAGAAGATGCTACACCATATTTGGTTTCAGTTCAGTACTGATACTCCTAGACAGTGGCTGTAGATTTTTGCCTCCTTCTCTTCTGGGGGACCATGATTAGTTCCTTGCAAGACCAAGTAACAGGAATGGAGTTTTTAGCTTTGCTAACTATTAAAGACAGTGTGGGTGCTACCCTGAAGTATATGCTGCTGTTAACGTGTATTCACCTGTCTGTGTGTGGGCAACTGTGGGGCAACAGCAGCAGCAGCTTCTGCCCTTCTGTGAAAGCATCTGCAAACAGCAGTGGTGGGAACTGGTAAACCTCGGAGGACTCGGAAATTCTGTTGTCTGTAGTTCCCAGGTCTGAGACAGAAATACTGTCACAGCTGGGTGGCATTTTGCAAAGGAGCATGGCAGGCTCTAGGGA